CCCCAAAACCCCAAAACCCCAAAACCCCAAATTAGAACTATTAGTTGAAAATTTATTTATTTGTTCCAGTTTATATGGTATGAAGCTTTACTTTGCCCAATCCATAACTCTTCAATATTCTATCCAAATGCTTCTTGCTACTTTGGCTCGAAACATACAGATACTCAAGCTTTCTCTTAAAATCTTCTGATTTTGAAAGCCCATCGATCAAATTCTCAAAGCCATCAAGGCTATCTTCAATCCCTTTAGGACCAATTATTCTACTTTCCCAGAGCATCAGCAACCTAATATTACTTCCATTCAAAGCTTTACCAAAATTTGGGCTACTTTCCATTTCCACGACACAATAATGAATGCACAGTTCTAACATATTCCTAGCAGCAACCAAAATTTTCATAAAATGTTTCTGCTTAATTCTGAATTGATACAGATAAAGTTTAACAGATACCTTCCAGCTTACTGCTAGGATCTGTTTCATGCTCCTATCGATCTTTCATAAACTATTGGTTGTCAATATGAAGCTACAACACTTCCTCGGAAAACTCTTCCCCCAGAACCCCTCCTCCACACTCCTCTTATCCCTACCCCAATTCTCCACTCTGATCGACTTCAGTTCTGGAAGCACCAAACTCTTCATGCTTCGCATGAAGAGTTTGGCTTCATGACAACTGAGGTTCACAGTGAAGTTATCGGTAGTAGGAAGAAGCAGTGTGCAGGAGTAGCGGCTGTCATGGATTGGAGAGTGGAGAGTAAGGAAGAAGGAAGTGAGGGAGTTTTGGAGGAGGGATTCTTGGGAGGCTAGGTGCGCCAGAGTGGGGATATTAGGTTGATTTTTCTGTTCTTCATTCTGCTTTGTTTGTTGTTGAATATCTTCAGATTGTACATTTTCAGGAGCATACTCTTCAGAATCAGATAAGTTTCACTTTTCAATCTTGTCAGGGCTAGTTTGCTTTTCACTTTCAGAGATTTGTAAAATAATAATTTGTGATTTACTTAATTCTTCCTTGTTATCCAAACTATCTCCTTCATAACTTATCAAGTTCTTTTCTTTAAAAACTGTTGATTTTTCAATATGCCACTCATAGCTACAATCTCTCGGACTCTTCCCCTGATCTGTGCACAAATTCAGAGCACTAGCTACAACTCCCATTATATAACAATAAATCAATAATATCCCATTTTTCAGGGGTTTTGGGGTTTTGGGGTTTTGGGG